CGCACACGTACAGCCTGGGTCCGGCGCACGCATGTGTGCGCCTACACATTTGTTAATTGTAATCTGAACAAACTGTTGCGATCGTATGCGCACTTCGTTACTTCGATTTTGCCACGGAAAAAATACCTGAAGATAATATCTCGATTGCACGGTCAATCGAGTACTTAATCGACGATATGCATTGGTCGATGACACTGATTTGATACATGCAAGCTTCATTACTTTTCTCTTGAGAAACTCTCTAATTTTTTCTAAGTTATTAAATGATGTTAAAGAAAATTATCTGTAAACAATAAAATTTTAATAAATTTCAAATTACCGAGAGAGAATGTAATTATAATAATGTATCATATTTTGTGCATAATATTTAAAAAAAATTTTAATAAAAGTTCGTGTGTGTTTAAAAAAAAAATATATGTTTATTAGCATGTTTATCTCCATTCCCTTCTTCTTCTTCTTCTTCTTCATTCCGTATCCGATCGGACGTAGGCGACCTCTTCTACATACATATATCCATAGATATATGGAACCTTCAATAACTGTCTCTGAAATGACTGTGAATTTTTGAGATTTTTGCGATCGCAGTATGCGGTTATACAGCAATTTGGCACTATTAGCTTCAATTATTATCGCGCGGCCGAAAATATTTGCCCGCGTAACTATCGGCGAATTTGTCGATTTTCAGCGATGCCTTTCTGTTATTTTCCAATTACGAAAAATGTAACAGTCACAAAATAAAAGTCGATCAAATTCTTTCCCAAGATCAAATTGTCTTTAACAGTTTGGTTTTAAAACGGAAATACAAGCGTGAAAAGGATTGTTCTCCTACAAAACTTGATTTGCAAAATTGGACATTCGGGCAATCACGAGTTTGTAAACGTTATCGCGTCCACTCTATAAACCTAATTGTTATATCTGTAGTTTTTATATTACAGCACGTGGTCACCAGTATACCAATAAACGCTTAAACTAACTAACGTTTTTGGACTAACGTTTATTTACACTAAATGCAGAAAATTGGAGAGAATTGGAGAGACAATTGGCGAAAATCGATATTTTTCTACACTTTTGAATATCAATTTGTCAAAATTATTGAAAATAAACGTTATATTAATCAATCCTCCTTAAATGATAGAAGATAAATTTACATGTTACAAATATGTTGAAATATCCTTAATAAAACTTATTTATTTCTTCTAAAATAGGTGAGTATATATTCTGGAATGTCCAATATATTCATAAAAAATGTTTACAATATTGGCAAGGCAACTGTAGCCATTATTTACGTGCGATTATTATATCTAGCGATCCCCCTTCCTTGGCCGCGCGAGATCCGCTAGTATTACGCAAAATGATTTATTGCTACGAACGCGCGCAGAAAATACCTCGCTAAAGTTACGATTCGCCAATCGGCTGTCTACTTTTCTCTGGTGTTTCACGAGACGAATTACATCTCGTGCTTTTTTTATACCAAGCTCGCTGGTCGTGTGTGGATTAACGGTCGAATCGAGCTTAGCATGGCAAGTGCATCATGTAGAGCCTTTTCCTGGTCTATTCAAGACACCGCATATGTTCCTCCGGGAATCTACGGAAAAAGCTTGAATATCGGATATAAAAACTATTAGATGTAATCTTCTTAATGAGAGATAACAAATGTAATTTCGAACTTGGAACTATTGCTAATCTTGATTTACATTTTTAGTATTAGATTTTAGTATTAGATTTACATTTTTAGTATAGTTTTATTAGAAATCGCATAATAATTGTATGATAATTCTTAAACTTCTAAGTTACTACATATATAATTTTGCATATTATGTTTTATTTATGTTTAATTAAAATTGAATAATATTTAAAATGCGCAATTATAAATTTTTTGGATAATTCCGAAAAATTTTGGCAATTTATTACAAATTTTATAGATATTTTTCACAAATTTTTTTATCTTTAAAGCGCTTTTATGACAGAATTGCACTTTCAGGGAATTATAATATAATACGCGTAACTACATAAATATATAGGTACGCGTTGGTATGATACTGCATAATGCATGTTCGCATTCTAATTATTATAATGCTTCGAGTACGTAAATAAAACCACGATGCACGACGTCCTCGTTATGTTGACGAGACAACCTTGATTGCGACAATCGTACGTTCCAATCAGCAATATGAATTATTAATTTGTTCGCTCTGCAACAGGCGTAAGCAATGGTTATCAATCGGTTGATAAAACGTGAGGATGTTTTAGGCAGAGTCCACACGCGAAACAGGGCCACACGACACACCGTAATTAAAATTATAATTGCATTGATTTAATGCCTCTCTCATAATTTTGCCTCATTAAACGTGTAGTATAAACTACAGGAAAACGAAATTGACCCGTTAATACGATAACGTTGTTTTTCGAAATTTTTCCAAATCTACAGCAAAAGGCTCGTTTTCGAATGTTACAAAATTCTCGATAATGCCGGTAAGTCGCAACTCGCTATAGAGCGCGTTCTCTAGAGGGTTCCTCTGAAACACGGCTGAGGATCACCGTCGAAGGTAAACCGTATAAACTCTCCTTTGTCAGACAGCACACGACATTTACGTCGCGGCGGCAACGATGGCGGTGGCGGTGGCGGTGGCGGCGGTGGCGGCGGTGGCGGGGCGCTCGATCACGAGCGATTTGTTGAGGGTGCGAGCAGCGGGAGGAATAATCAGCGCGATGCCAGCAGTAATTAGTAGCTCGCGCGGCGTTGCGGAAATTGCCGCAGGCGGCCGACTCCCGCGTGCAGGGGAGGGGGGAGGGGAAGGGGGGAGGTTGGTGGGGAAACACCCCGAAATATCTACATATACAGTCGTTATCGCGACCGTTCGAAACGACGACGGCACGTAAGGTCGCGGCGGGCGGGATCGCGATCTCGATATGTCACGCGAGCGCAATGTTTTTCAAGCGACGCATGATAAAATTATTTAGACACTTTCCCTTCCCCGCGGTATTTAATCTTATCGACGCGATCGGGAGGGATTCGTCGCTTATTGAAAAAGGCACGTTGCTGATTCATCGCAACACGTGTGTCGGGAATATTTATTCGGAAACGCCGAGATATCGATTTAACGACGTAACATACGTTAATATTTAGAGCGTTAGCGTTGGCACGATTTTTCCACACCCACTGCCTCTCTCCCCGAGCGCTTCTTCTTCCATTTGGCATACATTCGCGCCGTTGTTAGCTCGAGAACACATTTCTTCTGCCTCCCCTGAGTCGTGTACAGTATTGCTTCGGATACACCTTCGATGGGATTACGCGGTTTTTTTCCCCCCAAAACACTCTCGATAACGACGTTTCGTCATTCGCCGGAGAGATTGCGCGAGATGTAGTTTAAACGACGCGGCAGCCCGTGATCTTTGCCTCTCCCAACATGACAAGATCGAATTAAATGGCTTTTTCACTTCCATTCTCGTTTGTCGATACGCTGAATCGCCTCTAAACATTCGGGCTGTCGCGATTCATATTTAAAATATCATTTCTGTACGACAATTTGTGAAACATATCTTTCTGCTTTTCGGCTCGTTTTGCAGCGTTCTCGACTCACCTTTCATTGATCTGTTTTCCCGGAATTCGTTGCGCTCAACATTCGCAGAACTTCACTTTATAATGTATAACATTCGCATATGATGTTTGTTTTGCAATAGCGTACGCGGCTTTTTCATAAATAAAATGCGGGCACTCTTTTCGCATACTTTAAAAACATTCTTTTTAAAATAGTAATTACAAAAGATTGTGTTAGTGCATTCACCACGCGAAACTTAATTGTGCAGTACGAGAGAAAGAGAGAAAGGGGGGGAATTCCAAATGAGCTTTTTAACGCCTTGTTAAAACGTACAAAAAAAGAAGAGCACACTTTTTTTCGCGCTCACTTTATAACGGTATTGCCGGCGATAATTTTTAATTTGCACGCCCATAATATTCAATGGATAATTCAATCCCACGTGACCCGGATTTTCATTTCGTCGACGATCGACCCTGGCCGCCGCTCGTTACTCGATAATCCCCGTGATCAGTGGCAATTGGAATCTCCTCGCACTTCAGAGCATCAGAAGTTATTACTCGGCTGTGCCCCCGTTACGAGCAGTTTATTTTCATTAGAGCGGCGATACACACGCTCGTGCGGATCCGCCGCCGCCCGGTTACGCGGGTATCCGCGCGCGGATCTTCCGCGCCACGCAGCTTCCCGGTATTAATGATCGATAGTCGCGTAATAAGGTGCTCTATCTCGTAACAATGTGACTGCCACCGTTATTACAGCGTGTACATATCCCTGTCGTCGCGTCCCACTGAAACGCGGCAGATAATTTACGGCAACAACTTTAAAAGCAATTGCACCAACGTGTGGGCGTGTATCAGCATTGTCACTTTATCTTTCTGAGCCGCGATGTAATGTGTTGCGACATAGTTTCTCGGTAATATACCTTCCATAATCAGCTCAGCCGTGTATCAGTTGATCAGCTTGAGCGCAACTACTCTGTAATTTTGAAATAAAACGTACTTTCGATATCCGTTCGAAATTCATGAAAGCATGAAAATTTATGTAAATAGTAGTACGTATTATTAATATCCCTTCGAGAGTAAAACTCGATAAAGAATATTGTAATCGGGAACTACAAAATTACCATTTTATCGTATTTCCAGACATATTATATTTCTCAAATATTTTGCATCGCTTTTTTTAACGAATCCGGACCAAATTCAGACCATCGAGTAATTTTTAGTAAAGCGCAGAAAATTCTCGAAAATTGAGTAATTATAACTTGTGGGTGGCTTATGTATTGTATATTTAACTTTTCACCCATTTCAATGGGCGTTTTCAAATAAACGCGGGCGCTCGATTAAAATGTTAATCAATTAAAAGGTTTTCGATAAATGTAAAAAAACGAGTTTTATGCATAAAAGAATAGGAATGCATAATAAAAAATATTTTTGGTCACGTTACGTCTATTAAGCGAAACGTCAATTATTTATCGGAAACCTTTATTAATTTTGTAAATTCTTATTCATATAGTTTACATGTGTCTATCACGTATTTGTCAATATAGTTCCATATTCTACATCGAGAAAGAACGGGGCAATACAGGCCGCGTATAAAAGGAATAAATATGCATTCTTCCGTCATATTTATGTCGTTTATCGCGTACAAAGGGGATAAACTATATATTTACAATTGTATACGATACGGTTATCCCGGTGTGTAATATCGGACGGTCAGCACCGTTGTTACCTTTGGCATACAAATACAGAAGCATCAAACGCGTTGACGATTCGGGGGAGAGGAAAAGTCTAATCATGCCAGGTACAAGGAGAGCGATCAGTCACCCGGTTGTCATGGGCCACGGTCGCCAGTTTTCTTTCAGTACGCCGCCGCGTGCGCGGACAACGCCGCGTACTCGTGAAGATGGTCTTGGTCGTGCCCTTGACCGCCGTAGACCCCGCCCGAATGATCATTCTTCCCGGAAGTGTGTACCACCGCGTGAAATCCCTCCTTGTCAGCGTGGTAGCTGACGACCCGGAGGCTACCACCTGGATCTTTCACGGTATACTCCCCGGACACGCTGCTCCCTGCGGAAAGAAATATCCATTAAGAGGTAGAAAGGACTTTCTTGACTCGAGATTGGATAATCGTAATCGGAGATGACAAAACGTCAGTATAAATATAGGTTAATAATAACATATTTATATTGTCAATAATTTTGTTAGAAAAATCCAGTCTTACGAAAAATTCTTTTGATGACAAAAATAATTCCAGAAGAGAATTAGAACAACCTATAAATATTACCTATTGATTTCCATTCTTTCCTCGCTGTGTTTCAATTGTGCGCGACAACAAAAATTTTAATTTATTTTAAAAAATATTTTGATAAAATGTTTAGCTATCTTAATGTTTCGTATATAATTTCAAATAATTCCAGTTCTACACGCAGTTATGCAAAATGTTATTAAAATGTTTGAATAAAATTTGTCGACGTATCCTTTAAATAACTTACAATTTTTCAGAGGAGAGATTTGATTGCATGGGCATGCTATTTACTTATAATCTTTAAAATTTATGTTTAATACTAAACATTGGGATATATTTAAAACTGAAATTAAAACTCCATCAAACGGAATTCAAGAAGTTCGCTCGAAGTGTAGACGTAGGTTTTTTTATTTACTTGAATTCCTGAAACGTAATTCTTGAGACGTCTTTCACTTTCAATCGCTCGTGGCATGAAAACCGAGAGAACTAAACACTTCGATACTTTCGCTAAGGAAAAATTGATTCGCCAACTTGATCAGGGAATGCATTTGTAAAGTTTGCTCAATTTTGGGAGTAAGTTTGTACCTTCACACAGCACGCTCTTGTATACAACTACGATATCACACCGATGCGCCGGTTGAAGCCAGTTTACAATTCCTCGAGTCAACTTCACGACTCAAGTAAGAAAACGTAATTCTCCAACTGAAGAGTTGACACAGACGACGTACACACGTTATATACCCACACATACACCCACGCACACGTACGCAGGAGCATTCGCACATACCGGCTCGCGTATAGTTCTCGACGTGTCGCAGGGCTCGCTCGCGGGCAGTCTTCGCAGAAATGCAATTTTCTTTTCATACCCGTGGCAATTTTTGCCGACGTCAGCGTCGGAACGCCGCCGATGTGTCGTCGGCCTGCACGGTGTGGAAATCGGATAAACGGCGTGTGTGTAGCCACAGGTAGCCGGGAGCCCATTCAAAGAGCCGCTCGCTCGGTCTCTCGCGCCGTTTGTCGTCGCCCCGCGAAAGTCACGAAGGCACATATAAAAGTGACTCGTCCTTTTCACTCACCGTCGCTGGACTCCTTCTGGCCGTGAAAGTCGCCGGTATGATGATCCTCGACGCCGTACGAGAACTCGTACTTGGGCTTTGCCACGTAGTCGACCGTGTAGCCGTCGTGATGGTGATGCTCGTGGTGGCTCTGCAGATAGTTGTGCTCGCCGAGATGGTCCGGCAGAGGTACGTGCGGCACTTTCACCTCGTATTCGGGTCCCTGCACCGGCCCTTTGAAATGCATGTACGAGCTGGCCAACGAGACATGATGATCATGGTCCAGCGGTATCACGCCGGCGATTGATCGATCGACCAGGGCGAGGCCGATGGTTAGTGCGACGGTGACCTGCGACACAAGAAGTTTATGTCGTCGGCGGTGTCGTGTTGTCCGGGGGACTCACCCGGACGGCACACCGTGCGGCAGAAAGGGGGGGCTTTCGATGCTCTGATAGCTATCGATCACGGTTGTAAATAGCGCGCGCGTTATGAACCGAAGAGTTCATTTACATAAGCGCCAGACGTATTCATCCGGGGGAGGACTCTATTCTTCGTGGTCGCCCTGCCTATTGCAATATTCTTATTTACCAGAGCGGGGGGGGGAGGGGAGGGGAGGGAAAAGCTTCTTTTAGAAAAAATTTTGCTGTAGAATATAATCGATTGACGGGAAGGAATTGCTGAGCGAGGGGAGATGTAATTCAAACATTTTTATGTGTGCCGGTGTCAAATACTTTTTTCCGCGCGCATATAAACAGTCAAACAAATTGGAACATTTCAAGCTAGTAAAATGCTCGACGAATCGAAATTGCATGGAAATGTTACCATGATCTATACGATCGATGTCGCCTATGTATACAGACTCACTCGACGCCATGATGAAACTCTAGAAATTTACGATATACATCGACATCGAGAGCGGCCGGGATCGTCGACCTCTCGGTTTTTAATTACGAGGATCCCGAGAGCTCGGTCGTCAATGTTCAAACCAACATGAACCCGTCCGACGGCAAGTACTCGATTGAAACAGCGAAATGGACGCGCGATTCATCGGGGAAACGTTAACCTTCGTCTTTGCTCGTATTACGCTTCGGATCGGCGCCTTCGCGTCTTAAAATTAAAGCTTTTTACTCGAGCTTTTCAAGCGTTTTAATCATAAATTGAGATAATAAGCAGACCGTTAAGATATCTCCGAGCAAGATTGAACGAGTCGCGTGTGTGTATGTTATTTAAACGCGATACTCGATATCTAAAATATTAAGCTGTGCACTGGCGATAAGACATACAAGTGTGAATTATAAATTATAATTCTATTTTATGCAAATTTTGTCAAAACTAACGCCACATGCAGCCACTGTTTCATATAGTAATTGTACATGTAAAATGCACGTAGAGATGTGCAGTTTGCATTATTGCATATATAAGTACACGCCCAAGTTAGGAATACAGCGGAATATATGCAGAAAGAGATAGAATATGTGCATGTTAAAATGTACTATGTAAGATTTTACATGCGCTTGTCGAGTTACGAAACTTCACAATATCATGTATACTTAAGTATCATTATCAAAAGATTATTATATAAGTATTGCATATTATAATTCGCGCAGAATTTCAGACGCGTAATAAACAAGCAATTTCAAAAGACAATTATCATTAGCATTATGACTTAATTTAAAAGCTTTCGCGGCTGTAACATCAGCTTTTTCCCACAACGGAGGTAGAACGCGAGTTCGCTAAAAATACATAAGAAGGAGAGATGTATTCGTACTCGTATACACATTCGTAGATGTACACGCACACATACGTGAGAAAATAATAGAAGCTCTTGGCCGTAATAAAACAACTAAAACTCTCTCTCTCTCTTTCTCTGAGGTTGAGAAGATCTTAAGATTAGCCAAGTACAAAAGAACCGAGAGCTTAATACAATTAAAGAGAAGCGTTTGTTACAAGTCAGCGTGCACTTTTTAATTTTCATGAAGTTCAACCTCAGAATCTTTACCAACCTCTCTCTCTCGAGAGAGAGCACGCGCCCGCCCCGCTGCAGTGAAACGGACACTATCTTTCGCGAAAACTTACGCTCGCGACAATCCGGCTGAACTAATTACATCGAGTAGACTTAAATGTTAGGGAACACTTTAATCCCATCTTATATTCACGACGTTGCTTAGATCTTCGTAGACAAAACCGCGCTTCACCTTCCCGCCCCGTCCCGAATTATTTATTTCGCCTCGACCCTCCCGCGCGCATATCACCGCGCCAATTATATGTGCGTAATTACTGGCAATTTAGAATCCGTCGCCCTTCACATTTATCCCTTTCCTAGCCCTTTATATCTCACTCTCTCTAGTTTTCTTTCCTCTCTCTCTCTCTCTCTACCTCTTTTTTCATCTCTCTGTATTTTTCCGTCTGTTCTTTAACGAGCACTTTCTCCGATCCGCGTCACTTTTCTCCTGCCTTCGCGACGAGTTTCGACACTCTACCTTGAAAGTCATCTTCACCATTACGATATTTCAGGCGGCCAGGTGAGAACTGCAACTTACCAGCGTATTTTCTAGGCTTTTATACCGCGGCACGCTCTGCATACACGCCGCTGCGCATACACGCGTGTGCCGGTTCCGGTTCCGATTGCCTATGCAGATGTCCATGTGAAGATGTACTTCCGAGACAGTCAGATAAACGTCGCACGGAGACGTCAAAACATGCTATTATTAATAAACGAGGAAGTAACTAACAATAAACTGTAGATAAACAGGTAACAAGATTAAAACACGCTTCACTAACATTAAGGTCTTTAAAGCACACGGTACTTACAAAAATAAACAGAAAAGACTATATTGATAAAAGGAAAAAGAAGTAACTTGCTAATTTAAATATAGAGCTTCGCAATGTATAGAAATAAAAATGTATAGAAATAAAATAGGTATTTATATGACAGATTTTTAATCATAAAAGAGAGAGAGAGAGAAAGAGAGAAAGGGAGAAATAGTTATATAATAGAAGCAGAAATATAATTATACGAAAAAATCTGACTTAAAATAAATATCTATTTTGAAATGTCAAAAATACACGCAAAATTCAATTAATTATAAATAATTCTCGCTTATTGAATTAGGATTTGACTTGTGTCACTTCAGAATCTTTAAAAATTAATATTATAGTATAAAAATACTATAATAAAAATGTCATAGAACGAAAATTAATATTATAACAATATTTTTAAAAATATAATAATAAAATTAAATTATTTATAAAATTAAAAAATGTTTTGAGAAATTTATTTTAGCTTCTTGCGTATGTGCGTTGTTTGTAGAATGTAAAATTATACTGACAGTTCTGCACGCGCATTCCACTTCGCAAGAGTCGGCGCGAGTTCCAAATGGTGTTTCACGATGACTCGCGATGTCATAAAACCGATTACGTATTAATAGATAGCGCATCTTTGCGTAGCGTACATTGAAAAATGATCCAGGAGATCGCATTAAATCGCTTCCTTCCTCTCAGCTGGCATCGCGAATAGCTTCCTTCTTCCTGTGAGATACGTACTACAACCGTGAGTTTTTCTCAACATCGAGACGCGATCCTTGGCTTGTTTGAAAGGATCCATTTTTGTCTGTGAATATTTAGACTTTTATTTTAACCTGTTCCCAAAGTATTGCAAATAATTATTTAGAAGGTACAAAACGCGCGTTAATAATATATGCATATATACGAATCGTCTGTACACATGATGGGATATAAATTATGTAATTAAATCGAATTACGTAACTGAGTGTATGCCTATCTGCAAATGATCATCAGCACTGTAATTACATTCATATAAAAGCTGTTATTATATTATACATACAGAACGTAATGTGTTTTAATTATATTTTTATTAATTTTTGAAATTAGTTAATATCCTACGTATAAAATGAATCATATAAATATTATCCGATACCACTAATAATTTGCGAGAAAGTCGTATATTACTGATATTAATTTAAATTTATTTTATTAGCTAAACATAACAACGGTACACACATCGTATTTGCACGCTGCTCTTGCGCTGCAATATTTTTCGAAAGAGTAAATATTGATTGTGCGTAAGAGTATTACGTTAGTTTTCTCTGCCTCGAATATTTTTCGAATAATTTCCAAAGATTTATTGGCATTGCATTGCCATTTTATTTTTTCGCGCGGTATTTTTTAATTCTTGAGTTAGCTTATTAATTAATTATACTAAACGAGAATCCATTCTTCTCTTTTATTCTGAATGATTCTTAAATCAATATTGGTGAAATGACGCGCTTCTTTTCGAGGTTATCCAGCTCAATCGAAAACAGGGGCTCTATAAAAGACGTTTCCTTTCGAATAGAAAGCAATGCTTAAACGCAGCTCTCCATTCATACGATTCTATTGCTGTCTGTTGCTTCTGAAATAGAATAATAACGACAAAATGACGGGAACAGTGAAAGAAATAAAACTGCACGATGATGACTTGTCGAAAAATGTTAATTTTTTACTATAGTAATGTAAATGTGATTTTTTTTGACGATTAAACTTTCAGTTAATTTAGCTGTATAGTTTACTCTAAATTATCAAGAGAGAGAGATATATATATATAGAAACAAAGAGTCGCGTGCTTTGTAACAATTCGCCTTATATATTTTAAGAGAACGACACTGACGTTAAGCTCAAGCAGCTGACACAGAAATTTTTTTCCTTTACTGCAGTTGAAAACGCGCTCGCGGGGGAGAAACGACTTTCACGAAAGAGAGCCAACCGGAAGTTGGCTGGCGCTCGATGGAAACGTCTCGCCTGCCTTCTTCGTCGCGATGATAAGAAACGTCGAGAGTTGATATTCTTGGCGAAAATGCACTCTACCCTCCCGTCACTCCCGTTACAGCGTGCGGCATCGAAATCGAATTTATGCGTAAATGGTTTTATTTCTACGGCAGACCTCCCTGCCGATTAGCGCCGATGATTAGCATATTTCGCTGGAGTGCAGTGGATTATACGGTATCGCGGTATATATATACACACACACACACATGGAAAATATATCCATGCGATTTGTCTATTTGGAATAACAAGCGGCGCTATGTATACGGCTGTAATATGGTAAATCCGGCGCAACGACTGCACGCAACAAATGCGATCATGCGATTAACAAGCTACCGTTTATACATTATAAACGCGCGGATTAATAACATAAGTATTTATTATAATATGTTATTATCGTAAATGTCCATTACCCGCGACATATAATTTGATCGGCGCGGGATTTATGGCGGTGTCCAATAAGGCACGATCAGACATTAACGATCGACCTCGCCGCATTTGATAACCCGATTAATGGACTACAGTACTATGATAATGAACGTGAAGGGGGAAATACAGCCGCCGGGGTGCTCGCTCCATACGCACCGCTAATTGGATTTTCTTTGTGAAGAAATTCTGCGGATATACGTATTAAAGAGCTCGCCCCCTCCCCCCCCCCCCCCGCTATTAGCTGACCCGACAACCCTTTGAAACGACAACGCAAACGGCTGTGTTTCGAATGACGACGAATGTGCCGCGAGAGTGAGAGAGAGTCCGTCCGTTTCCTCCGGTGAATATAAATTGTGTTTCAATTACGAGCGCGCATTATATACGTAGGCAAATAGAGAGAGAGAGAGAGAGACAGAGTCTTCCACTCGTATCTCCACATCAAACGATTAAATGTATCGCTATCGCATTATTATACTAGCTCGCTGCATATTTCTCCATATTATTGTTGCTCTCTGGCGAAGAGCGTAAGGCACTCCGAGGCACGGCAAGTCGAACGCGAGAGATGCTACGTATGCATAGCGATAATTGAGCCCGGGAACCGCGGGGAACACGATATCATGATATAATCGCGCCGCCGTGGTGAACGCCGCTGCCTGCGCGTCTCGTACCTACGCCGGAAAGCGATTAAATGGCTTCTTCTTTTATCTTCGTCTTGAGAATTGGAGAATAGATTATCATCGCAAGTACATTAGACGTCATTCCCCGTAGTAATTTATTACCCGCAAATAATAAATTGACTGTATGCCGATCGTTATGCGTATCTTCGTGCAAACGAGTTTTCAATGAACGATACGGTAAAAATAATAAATAAATCGCCGTCGAAACTCATTAACGTGAGAACTGAGAACGATTGACGGCGCACAAGCATTAATGCTAGCCGGCATAAACAATTTAGCGCGCGTACTATACGTCACAATTCGCGATTTCAGGTATATAACATTTGTAAACGTCGCCGCGTCGCCGGCTGTATTACGCTTTCGTTCCGCACGTGATGATATCCGCGTCAGAAGGTGAATGAGACTCGATTAAACTAATTGGCGTTTCCATCGCGCATATTGAGAGATATGTACTTGGCCATTTATGAGCAATCAATTTAATGGGTTATCTAATTATTGTAATGCGACCCTTAACTCCGATTGTATTTATGATAATTACATTCATCAAATAGACACCACGTAGATATGGCCTTCTGCCATGTCTTCTACAGTGCTATAAATTATTCAGGGAATCCGCGAGAAGCCCAAGTAAATGATATCTGATGCTCAAGACGTTTTTTTATTCCCGCGTCCTGCATGCTCAAAATTTAGAAATGTCAATGATTTCGTTCTTGCAGCACGTGCGTGACTCTCCTTTCTCTCCTTTTCGCCGTATCAGTTTAGAGATTAATTATAATCTAATTGCAACCGTACAATTTGCCCGTGATAACTTTCTTTGAATTTCGCGTGTTGCTTCGAACTCACCCATTTAAATCGCGCACCGCACGAAACTCCCCTCTCCCATCGTCCAAAATTCCACGAATCGAAACGGCTTCGCGAGCTAGCGCGTATGAAAAGATCACACACAGTCGTGTACGTGGTTCGAGCCGCAAAAGCCGCGATACGCGCACAGCCCCGTATCCCTGGATCGTAAATCAAGAAGCTCGATCTCGGGATGCAGAGGTATGATTTCAGGGGGCGATAAGGGGCTTCCGGGGCCCGAGAGAAAGAAGACCCTCCCTGCCGCGACGTACACGGGGGAAACCCGTTCGAGGAACCCCGAGCCTTCCACATTCGCGGATTCGTTTAATCGCGGTGCGCTCGGTCGCAGTTCCGACGACGACCCGCACGGGTGGCTGCTAGGGTGAGTTTGACCCAGATCGGGCTGAATCTACTGCAATTTGCACTTGACGCGTTTGCCGACAGCGGAGAGGAAAGGTGGCCAGTCGACGACTCTTTCGTCGAGGTGGACTATCTCGCGCCACCGAGTTCTCGAGGGGGATTCCTCAAACATGAACAACGACGTATAAATATCTTGTATCGAGGCTCACCTGTTTCGCAGCACACATCGCAGATGCGTCGAGAGATTAGAGATTTATATTGCCGCACGTAAAAGATATAATAAGTCCATGAACAATAAATAAATTTGAATGATATATTAAATTACAATGATATATAATTATCATAAAGATAATAAATTAAAGCACTAGCTGCAAAATAAATGTATGTGCTGTTGAGATAATCTTTATCAATTCGCCGAATTAAATATAAAACTTTAATTGTAATATTATTAAAGTAATATTATTACATTA